AGGCACAATGAGGAAATTACCACTTGGGACCCTTCAATCTATAATTACCCAGTAGTTCAGACAAGAATAATGGTGCTCTTGGATCTTAAAATATAGGAATCTCTAAACAAACCTCTGTTTGTGATCAAGCCAAATAACTGTACTAAAAAAAAAAAAAAAACAATTCAAAAAGGCAAATTAATTTTTTCACATGCTACTTAATTATGAAACTCCTTGATATAGGATCTTGTGGGACAAGAGATGTAACTGGAGTTACAAAGAAATGACACAGACATGGATAACAGTTTTGGCACTGAATGTATCCAAAATGATAGTCCAGATGTAACTTGGTTTTGGAAGTGTCTTGCTGTGTTTCATGTATCCTCTCCCTAATAAAATGCCAGTTGTCTGCTGGTGAAGAGATGATACAAGCCTAGAGAGACCTTTCATCCTATTTAGTATGGTGGTAATGGTGCTCTTACAAGTGGAGAAAATACATGGAAATTCGGAATGTTGGAAATACTTTTATCTTTGAGTCCCCACTGGTGTCCTGAGTTCCTTCCTCTCTTCTTCTTGGATAGAACTATTCTTAAACTATTTGTGAACACACGTAACATATTGTTAGTTATGTTATTCCAGCTTATAAAGCATGCATGAATACACAGTCGCTGGAAAAGGTGAGTTCTTTTATACATCCATTTCCATGGATGAAGGCACATTGTAAAAAATACAAAAGACTAAAAAAAAAATACAGCCCCTTTTTAACTAAATCTATTTCTTTCTTTTTTTTTTTTTTTATGGTGGGGGCAGGTGGAAGGCTACAAAATAGTGTATTTTCATTCCCTTTAGTTAAATTTCCCTTCAGAAGTCTGCATTTTCAGTTAGATTATTTCTAAAGACACTTTTTTTCATGTGTACAACGTATAATCAGAAATATATAAATTGTTAATGTGATTCTTCAAACTGAATTGTTAACAGATTATCAGTTTAGTCATCACAGCTGCAGTACTAGCTTTCTTAGCATTGTATTTGGGGAACGTCATGTATTTCTGATTAAACAAAAGAAAGATTTTATGACACCTTAAGTTAGGCTTGAAGAAGCAGTGCCATAGGGCTGAAGAATCATCAACAAACAAAGGTTAAACAACAATGCATCAAGTTCCAGTGAAGAGGTCCAAAGGAAGCTACAAGGACTGCTGTGAGAAGTGAAATCGTTTTACCGTATGCATAGGAATGAAATGCACATATACTAACACTTCATCAAGATGTCAGAAAATTATATGAAAGACTTTGAGAAATTAGACACCTAAGTAGGAGCTTTCTACAGGGTTCTAGAAAAGGTCATGAATGTCCGATTTTAATCTTTTCTGCTGGGCTGATCCACATCTATTTTAATCTTTTCTCATTTTGAAGAGAAAATGAGCAGAAATAGCTCATTATTTATAGCACAAATCCTGCCAGAAGGACATGAGAAGTGCTGCATAGTGGATATCTTCCTCTGAGTGAAACCTCTTTCTGACATGATCAGTCATTTTAGGAGATCATCAGAGTAGTGATGGAGGGCTCAAACTAACACAATGAAGTGCAGAGAGAATATATTTCTTGATCGCTACTTATTACCTTCTCCACTTGTCTGAGAATGCCAAAACCACTGGCTGTCAACAAGGTGTACTTAATATGAAAAAGGGGAATAGTCCCTCATGAAGAATATAAGCATTGATCCATATTACAGACAGATGGAATATCAGAAATTCACTCGCTCCATAATTGTATCATACTAACTGCACGACTACTTTATTTTAATTATAAATTCTTATTAACCTAACAAATAAGAAAGATTAATTTTGTTCACATTCACCATTGCATAGAGATAGTGATAACGACAAAAATATATGGATCTAACTTTGACATCAAATACATCATAAAACTGCAATAAATAATTATTTTAAATTATTTTAAATTAAAATTATATAAACCTTAAGTTTATGATTTTGTCTAACTCTTCTCATTTGCAAGGAGACAAGTCAAAGTGGTATAGGAGCTTTTTTGAATGGTTACAGGACATACTACATATTGACTGATATACAGAATGATTCCTGTCAGTAGAGACTTTGGACTACCTAACCAGCTCCAAAGTTCTTGGGACAAAATACACACCCATAAATGTGTAAGAGGCAAATGGCAGTGACAACTCACAACTATAGTACTGCTGAATCTACTGAAGTTTCTATATGTTTTAAAATGTACTTTGTTTAAAATGGCACAAATACTTTAAAATAAGCTTTTAATTTTTAGAGTATTATACAGAATGATTACAGTATTAATACTAAACTGGGTTATATTATTTGTTCTTTCACCTAATTTACAGTAATTTTCATAGCCATTTTGCTTTGGAATAGTGCCTCTAGTTTTCTGGACAGTTATTAATTATCTCCCTGTTTTCAAAATTTTTTCCTCTTTACAAATGTTAATGAAAATTTTTACCCAAATGAGCATTTCAGCTTTAAAGTACGCAGCTACTTAACTAAGAAGTCAGCTACTGAGAAATTTTATGTCTACCATTTAGAAGGTGATTACAAAGATATTTTGAAATTATATTTTTTCTGCATAGAAATTATAGTTACAAAGCATTAGAGTCTTAAGCTATATTAAGAGTCATTCTTCAAGTACGCTTATTAATGATTCAAGCCATGGAAATCTTCATTCTTGCCTCTGTGAACCTCTTCACAGAAGAATTTCAAATTGTGGATTACTTTCTTCAGGTAACAGTTTGGGTCTGTATGCTAACTCTCCTCTCTTTCAGAGTATTTATCTTTTTCATTATATATTTTTCCCAGGCTTATAATATTTTTATAAACAAAAGCGTATAGCAGAGAAGTACAGAGCAGATAGTCTTCCTTCTGAAGAGCTATTATCCTTAGGTTCTTTTTAATTAGCTTTTGAATTTTTTTCATACTTTAAGCTTTCTCAGAAAAAAAAACAGTTATAGAACAGCATTTTTGAAAATACCTTCCATAATCAGTTAACAGGATTTAACCTGGCATATTAATTTTTCAATGTAATTACAATCTTTTCTTCATAAGTACTCCAAGCAGGCAGAAGCACCTAGCTCACTTAAAAGCAGGGAAGTTTAATTCTGCCAGTAAGTCTTCCACTAATTCACTCAGTGACTTACAATAGTTACTAAAGCCAGACGTTTTAAAAGCCAGCAGCTAAACGAAGATACTCAAAAACACTTTAAGGAAAGATCTACACTGACTGTAGGAGGCTCTGAATCAGTCTGCAAATGGCTGATTAGTAAAATGTGCTGAATACTTGCACTAATTGCTTAAGTCAACAACAGATGGAGGAGTTGGCATCCGTGGACATAAGGCCACTCCTTCATATATCCAACTTTAGATGTCTAAGTATGAACATTTGAGCTCAAGCTTTGTGTCCCAGCTTTTCAGTAAGTAAATGCAGTGTTAAGGAACCCTCATTCTCACATGTTATATTGAAAATGCCATGTAATTATTCATACAACAGCTGTGTCACAGACAACCACACATACAACCACCAAACATGCCCTTTCAGCAAGTCTGTTCCCCTGGCAGTCCCAGCCCTCCCTTCCTGCTCTGCTTCAGTCCTTCCACACCCAGCTTCCAGCACTGGGCTCCCTTCCTGGTCAGCAACCACCTTCATTCCCAAACCAGCCCCTTCACATCTACCCAAGATCCCGAGACACACACAAAGTCCTGAAAAAAAAAAAAGTTTTTCCCCAGTGAATTCAAATGATACTAGAAAGTTTGTATCTGGAAAAGATATTAATCACTGAAAACATTCATCAAGAAAACTTGGGATTGAAAGATGGGGAAGGGTAGCTGGGCCTGAAAGCTTAGAAAGTGTTTAGATTATCTCAGAAAGAGAAATGTCAGGTGAGATGAATAGCTGCACTGCCAGTTCTGCCTGTGAGGTAGAGAAACATATGCAAAATCATCATAGGAAAACACTTAGCTCTGGTGTTTGAATATTAGAAAGTAGCAAATGAATTAATATATCCCAAGAACATGATTAACGCTCTAGTGATAATTTGGAAACAAATACCCAGCAGGAGTATTTAGAAGTGCAAATTGAGGATGTACGTAGCGCTACAGTATTTCAAGTATAACAGCATTTTTTTCATTTAAGTTCTAGTTGCATCAAAACCTATTTAATATTAATGAAATATTTAAATTTAAGTTTTTCTCTTCTTTTTCTTATGTGCTATAGTACAACAAAGCCAGAGTTTGATAGTACCACATATGAGTGCTTTGAAGAAACTGATATTATTTAGTGCCAGCTAATAAAACAGTAACTGCACGTACAGTACAAATGACAAGATAAGTATTGTGTTGCCTTAATGCATAAGTAAAGAATCCATTTCTCACCATTTTCTATGTAGACCATTTGCCTAATGAAATCAGCCTTCCTTCCTTTTCAAAGTACTGCTTTGTGTTACCATGGTTGGATGAAAATAGCCTTTTCATTGACTCAAACCACTCTCTTTTGTCACCACAATGTTCAAGCATAGTGCAAACCAAATTCAGTCATACAGCCAGCCTGATGCTGAAATAGAAAAAATCCCATTTGATTATCTGAGTGAAAGGTTCCACAACCAAACTTCGTGCAGTAGGCAAATTTGTATTTAAGTCCTCATTTGCTGAATTCAGCAGGGATACTTGACATGCAGTTTGCATGCATGCACCCATCAAAGGCAGAAAAAAACAAGGCTTCAAAACATAAACAAGCTCAGGGTAAGCATCCCAGCACAAATTTTGCCCACAATCTCACTGAAGGTACACGTATAACTATGGGAAAATCCTTACACTAGGATGGAGGGCATCTGCAATCCGAAAGCAATGGCATTACAGCAATTTAATAGAGCTTAATACATTTCTTTGATTCCAGTACCAGTATGTGACAGTCCATGCACAAAAATATACAGCTTTTCTCAAGTATTTTTAGTGAATGTATTTTCTTTCTTAAATTTAAAATTAACAAACCTTCCCAGTCAGCTTTGAAAGATCATCTCCTCCCATTATCTGCATATCTTGCATAGACTGATCATTCTGTAAGAAGAAAGACAAAACTTTGAAATTGGATATAGCTGTATAAATAAAAGCATAAACATGTTAACTTTTTCTGATCTTTCACGGTCTTGATTACCAGTATTTTCTACTGCTCGTTAGTATTGGCACACGACAATACCACACTCTCACTTGTTCCTGTGGCTTCTATTCTAGTTGCATTTAAGCTAACATCAAGCTCCAGGCTTTACTGAACTAGAAGAAGTTGCAGCTTTCTTTTAAAAAAAATATATATTCCTTTGCTTGCTATTTCTTAGTTTGACAAGTGTTGAGTAATGTATTTGTCCCCTTCACAAAAGGAGGACAGGAGCATCCCAACACTTGACCAAATACCTGTAAGCACATTCTTTTTTGGAACAGTCTTTAGAAACACAGGCAAAATGTGCTTACATCTGTCACTCAGAACTTGGCTATTTTTGAAGAAATTCACTCAGTATTTTTTTCAGGGGAAAGAATTTTGCAAAACTTACCACTTGTTATCAAGAATAGTTTCAGTGTGGCATACTGTTTCAAGAGTTTTGCTTTTGCTTTTTCAGCTAACTCAAAAATAAAATCCTTGAGGTTAATTCAGAAAAATAAAATACTGTCAATCAGGTCAAACCAAATGCAACAGACCAGTATGCTTTGATTTTCCTGTTAGAAAATATTTTTTAAAAAAATCAGTAACATTTCTGTCTTTGAAAAGTTTGTTTTACAGACATTTCTAGTTGAAATTCATTCTGATGGAAAATTCTCAACTAGGTCTAGTTCAAATTCATTATCAGTGACACGCAAAGTTAAGATCACATAAGGGTGATATAAGAAAGCCCTACTTTCAAGGGAAGACAAAAGAGGCCTTAAAGAAGGTAGCAGATTAAAAAAATGTACAGTCATGGCCAGGCTATATGAGCTTTCCAGAGAAAGGAAAAGCAAAACTAAGTCTAGTTAATGTGGATTTTTGTGAAATTGGTGCATGTGCCAATCTAATCACCCTACTGTTAGGAAGACAGTGTTAGTCCACATTTAATAATAGCTGCAGTACCACAACATAACACTGTAGTTTACTAGTAACATCAGGAAGCTTTACCATTACCAACTACTGCCAAAAATGCAACAATTGAATGCTTTGCTTTTATTTCATCAATCCAGTGCTTTGAGGTAAAACATTTTTCCACAAATAATTAATGGGACAGCAGGACTTACAAGGTAGGTGAGGATTTACTTGGCTAAGGGATTTATAGCTCTTCCTCTTCCCTTCAAAAAGCAGCAGCAGCAGAGGTAGCACGCACACGCCTGCCATGCAGCATGGTTACAGCTGCACGCCTGTGCAGATGGAAACTGCATCTGCCCACGCTCACTGCCCAGGCGCCAAAAGCCCAGGGACTTCCAAGGCACCTTTGCAGCCACTTGATCACAGGTAATCTGACAACCCTGGCAACTATTCGTGCTCCCCATGGGAATGGATTGTCTAAATCAATACAGCCTTTCCAAGTAACTGTAAGGAGAGGCTGCAGAATTGCCCAGATGACAGTTTCTCCAGGTTTGCACACTGCAGACCCACCCAAAGGCTTCCCTTTTATTCAGACTCCAGTTTCCAAAAAACTCTCACACCACAGCTTTGTAAGAGGTCCTTAGCAGTCATTGCCTTAAAAGACAGTTTTTAGACCTTCTTTCACTTTTTCTCCACTGGATCTAGGAGATTTAGATCCTTTTCCTGCTGCTTGGATTAGTTTCCTGGGAAACAGAGCTAGAGCAAAAAACATCCCATATATTTTCTAATGTAAGTTTCAACATTTCTCTTATTTTTGTAAAGAAAAGCAGAAAGAAAAAAAATAACAAAGCAAGCAACTGATTTCCTCAGAAGATTATTTTAAAACCAAATAAAAAGTGGAGATAGAGAAGATTTCAAGCTCAGGCTTAAAAGCTTAAGCCTTTTGTTGTAGAGCAAGACAGATCACTCTTCAAAAGTCAGGGACATATTCAGGTCAAGACTTTTATAAGACTATAAAAAGCAAATAGTTTCCAATATCTACCATGGCATGTGTAACCCAGGCAGTGACAAAATACTTTTTCACTTCCAAATGAGAAAGACTGGAATTTCAGTAACAACCAACATATGAGAATTACTGAAGGGGCAGTTTGCCCTTAGTTGCTAGTTGAAAAAGAGAGGGGAAAAAAGATAACAGTGAGGTGCAATGATTAATGAATTTATTTATTTATAACTAAAAAAATCTCTTTCAGCAGTCTTCACAGCAGCACTGTTTCCTTTGCATTTGGTATTTCTGGCTTCAGCTGAAAGGAGGATGCTGAAATAGCATCTTCATTGCTGGCAAGCAGTTAAGCAAACACAAAAGCCATTGAGAGCTGGGGGATCAGAACATCCCATCAATCTGCGTATTCATACATTGGCTCTTGTGACACAACTGCACACAATTATGAAAATCCTCATGTTCTGACTGGAGAACGATCACTGTCAGAGGACAGGGCTGAGTATGTGCTTAAAAACCATATAGAAAAATGCAGCTCAGAACCCTCCAGCCGAGATGTTTTCAAGAAATTTAGAGAGATTACTTGCATCACACTGTAGAGCAATTCTATTGCAAATAAAAATTCAGATCATTGACTTTAATGTTATTTATAACTATCTCTACATTCATCAGTTAATTCCTATTGTTAAATACACACCTGCTAACAGCAAGTCTCAACACCATGATGTCACATTACTGTAACCATAATGTTCACACAGATAACGTGCACACTATGGTTGCCATAGGAACCTCTCAGTGCTTTTTTCTGAGTTCTCAGTTTATAATTTCAAAATAACACTGCACTAAATGTTAAGTATAAAGTACGATAAATGTCAGGAAAGAAAAAAATCTGTTTCATTCAGTACCAATTACTGTCAATTCAGAACTGTTTGTTTCATTTTCGTAGTCTCAAGTCATTCAGAGCTTCTTTTTGCCTTTGGATGTTTTTCCATACCTTGACAAAAGTGATATGATTGAGTCTCTAGGACATCTTACAAATGCAGACATGAATTAAAAGTTCACTTTCTGTTGCCCAAAGTTCCTCAATACTTGTATTCTAACATCCCTAAACCCTATCAACATAATTTTTGCTGTTAAATGCTTGACACTAAATACAATGTCCCAGAAAGAGACATATCAAAATGACCCTATGTTTTGGTTAATGCAGCACTAAATTTATTGTAGTTGTTTCTAACAAGACACGATGCATTTTGTTGCATCCCTACACCTCATCCCAAGCTATATTTAATCTGCATTTCTGATTTTTCTGTGTTTATTAAATCTGCATTTCCCAGGATAAATCTCCATTTCTTTGTTTTTATTTGCTGTATTGTGCTTTGTCACCTGGTCATCTTTGGTTTATAATTTTATTTCATTCAGACCGTGTCAATACACATCTTCAGATCCTATGAATACTTGATGAATGAAAGCAAGAATATTGCTATTTCCACCTCCATTTCTCACAGCATTCAAGATAAAACTTTGACTTTCTATGTTGATTGGAAGTATAGATATTTAGATTCCATCTATACTAAGTCATGTCTTTTGAACTGGGTGGGGCACAGAATTGTTACATCTCTTTTACATCTCCTGAGATCAACACTTGGACATGGTTCAAGTTACAAGTGAAATGAGTTGGGTGGTCTCAGGAAAATTTATTATAAACAGCATTGCTCATCTGAAAATTGCACCAAACTGTGAACATCTGTTACTCTTCTAAAGAAACAGAATCTGGAGTACATTAAGACTGGGCTCACTAAAACAAAGATTCTTTAATCATGGAAAAAAAGTAGCTTTAGCATAACAGTTTAAATGCATAACTAAATTATGAAATATGGACACAAGGTCATTATCACACATCTAGTTACTATAGTCTGCATAGTTCATATGAAATTTCTTGGAAAAGGTGTGATTACCTTTTTCTCCCAAAATTCATAATGGAAACCCTTAACATAGAAGGATGTGACCATCAGGCCTGTTCTACTTTGATTTCTGCCACTTGGGTGATACAGCAGATCTGCCAACCTGAGAATTCCCATCAGTACTTGAGTATATTCTGCACCATCATCCCATCTCCTGCAACTGGGTTTTCCAGGAAGGTTTTGACCAAAAATAAGTCACTGGCACTCTATTCTATTCTATTCTATTCTATTCTATTCTATTCTATTCTAGTGGTTGGCAGCCCTGCCCACAGCAGGAGGGTTGGAACTAGATGATCTTTAAGGTCCTTTTCAACCCAGGCCATTCTATGATTCTATGACTGACAGACAATCACCTTCAGTTGTCCCTTGGAACCTTAAGCCGTTGAATACAGAGCATCTCTAAGGCTTTGAACAAAATTCTTGGTGGTTCATACACTAAAGAAAAGCTGAGACTTTGAAACACCACATGGACACAACTGACTTATGAAATTGATATATGTTTTCAGAGACATGGCTACAATACACTGCTGCAACAGAAATTGAAACTTACAGAAAACCCAAGCAGAACTGTATACTCTGGCATACAAATTAACACATACTATAGATATGTTTTTCAGTTAAGAAAAAACATGATGCTCAGATGAAAACAAAGTAGATATGACACAAAATTACTTTCCAGTTAATATCTCTCGAAAATGAAACCACAGAAGCAATGTCTCTCACACAACTTTGAAACAGAAAATTATTACCTCTATGTGACTTAGCTACAGCAAACCGATTCATAATATAACCAAGCTTTCTGCACTTAAAAAAATAGCATTGCAGAAATTATTGCAGGTATTGTCAGAGTTTAGATAGATGTATCTGCTACTATTAAGACTCCTGCTTTGAAATTATATACTGTTCAATAATTATAATATCTTTTGCCACATGACCATACTCTACCACCTCAATCACAAACATAATAATTAAAATGAAAATTTTGATGTTCCAGTTTGGATGCTGATGCCCTAGCATGGAACTTAATTGCTTTGCAGCCTGCCTCCTG